GAACTAATCCCAAAGTCTCGAATATCTCTAAAGAAACATCTATTAATATATAGCTACATACTCCCACCACATGTTGTCTCTCTACCACTAGGAATCCTGAAATTGGTCAATATAGTTAACAGGTATGGGTGTCATTCTTAGTTTATTATTATTATTATTATTATTACTATTATTATTATTATGTAAGATCTGATCTTTACTTTACCAGATCTTTAGGGTCATATTAGTTTTATACCTCCCAAGTTATTAGCTGTTGTGGTATCAACTCCTTTTACTAATTTAAAGATAGTTAATATCAAGTAGATTATAGATTATATATGTAGACCCTTTATATGGTCTGCCCTCCGCAGCAGTGTTTGTATCATACTAGAGAGGACTGTGTTTCTATTTCTAGGAAATGCCACTGCAGTGGTAGCTTACGTCATCTGTCGGTGTAGTATTTGCAAATGTAAGATAAAACTTCTGGGTCAGGGTTGGTCTACTCCAGGTTTTGCTTATCAGCAAGGCGTCTCACTCAATAGACGGAAATCGATAACTCCATAGAGCAGTCAGTGTTGTGGCACTATTTTCCAGATCACGTTTCACCCTGAAACAAGTACCCTCACCAAATTTTGTCATTCAGTATGACCTGGATTAGGCATGGTATATCTCTGAGTATTATCCCTTATTGTGCAACACCACAACATTCAGCTTTGAAGGATAGCAGAGGCTTTACTGAGATAGTCTGGGACTAGTAGATTGTTTTTTAATTAACACATCTTAATTAGACCAAATGGAAGGCGTAGCTGATTTTAAATGGACAGTGATCACAGTTTTAAGTCCTGAGTCTCTCCCACACTTGCTGTCTGTCCTAGTGCGAAAAGGCAGTAATCTGCATACTGTTTGACAATGCAGCACTGCCCTGCCAATGATGGTAATCACAAAGCTATTGCTTGCATCTGCTCGGTCAACTAAATATGTATGCATTCAGTGTGTAGTTGTTCTCTTGGAATTGCCTGACAAAGCCTGACATCTCTGGTTTTGTTAGTCCTATCTAGCTCTCCAATTGTTGATTTGATTTTCTCAGCCTATCCGGTAGCCTATAGAGTGTTTTTTGTTTAAAATGTATTCATTAACAATAATGTTATTACTACCTGCTAAAACCCTGACTGCCTCCAGATGTATTTTTACACTTTGCACAGAAATGCACATTACATCAGGTGCTACATTAGTAATGGGAAACCAAAAAGTTGACAATATTCTCTTTTAAAACACAAAAACTGTTGATTAAGACTATGTAAATAATAGTAGAAATATGCTTTAAAAAATTTGTAGAACGGCATCCCTTTGTAACTGAATGTATGTTGTGGCACTCAAGCGGAAGTGACCAAGGTTCAAATGATAGCAGCTTTAACCTTTATTAAAAATTACTTGACAACATGACTCATCCTTGCTGGACATCATTTGCCCGTATCACTGCTCTGCTAAATTAGTAGCTGAAAATAGAAACCCAATCATTTAGATGGATCCTCGGAGCCAACTTGGATTGTGCTGTCCAACCCTGCTAGGACAAATGCCTCAAAATGTCAGGGAACACGTTGTGTTGCAACACAGTAAACGAGTATCGATCTCTCTGTGTACCTGAATTCATCCCACCTACGTGCTTAGGAGTCAAACTTAAGATATAGGGCTTAACGTGGGCTTGGAGAGAGAGAGAGAGAGAAAGAGAGAGAGAGACACTATAATGGCTTCACTGTAATAGCAGCTGGTTGTCAAAGGTGTAGCAAGCCCACCCATGTTGGAAAAGGATGCTGTCATCTGCTACATGCAGGCATGATCAGTTTAATTTTAGGAGAAAACAAACAGTACAAAAAACACTATCCCTCTGTTGTGCAGACAGTTTCTGCTCCCATGGGACTACAGATATAAATCTATGGTAGTTAACTGTTGCAATCTGAGGAAACAGCAAGGAAAATGTAGCAAACACAAATAAACAATACACATACATTAGACATATACACCATATATACTGTAAATTTGACACGATACAAGACTAGAGCATCAAGCCTAATTTTCAGTATAACTGCAATATTTTGCATTTACAGTTTGCTGTACACTGTAAAATCCTTCTAAGATACTTCTTCACCTGTGCCTACACTGAATTATCATGTTATCCTCAAAGAGACAGGGAGTCTGACATTTGGCCTTTTCCCATAGGATCCGGTCTTTCCTCCCATATTCTGCAAGCCTTCTATGACTTTATTCCCAAGACAGGACACTAAGCTTCACTATGCTGTTGTTTGTCTGATATTCCTTTTTTAAAATGTCATTATTTGTTTTTCTAATTTCATTTTTCCATCCTCCCTGTTTACAGCAAGTCAAGGTAGCAGATTAAAGACTGATTTCCCTACTCTTAAAGCCCGTATCTTCACACGGGCACATTTTGCCCTCGTAAGCCAATTAAAAGATGTTTAACACTCATTAGCAACACATTGCTGTCACATGCTCAGTAGAATTTGCTTTGTGAAAAGTTAAAAGTAGACTTTGTTTTTCTTAAGATGTTTTTAAGTTTGCTGTCTATCATAAATGTTGCAGTTCTTTACATTTGTTCTCACAGGCATTGTTGTTTTATACTCAATTTGGAGTCATTTAATTTGTCTTTTGTATACATCTACATCTGGTTTTGTTACTCACTTACTGCACTTCAATACAATTTATAGGTACAACCTAAGTGTAAAGTTTTTTCCATATGTGTGTGTATGCATGGGCCATATGTTTCCATGCAGATAGTATGTAGAAGATGTATATGTAGTTACTGTGCATGCTCATGTAACATAAACAGTATGTGTGTAAAATGTGAGAGCATACTCTCCCTGTATGTGCATGAATGCAGTTATACGTGTCCGCAGTGGGGATAGCAGGGAGCCTCCTGATAATAGTAGGAGCAGTGTGTGCTCAGTGTCACAAACGGCTGTCAGTGGCTGTTGGCTACTGGGGTTCTTTAACAGCTCTGTGGGAGGTCTGAGATTCTGTCAAGGCACAGGTGCAGCACTCAGCTTCAAATACCTTTGCCTGTGGGAGAAAATAGTGTGTCTGCAAGTGTGGTTTTATATGTGGCTGCGATAGTCATGCTTACATGTGTTTGTCAGCACAGTATATTTGTGTAAATGGTTTAGGTATTTGGGTGGGTTAGAGGAGGTGTTAAATGTTCTTACTTGTCCCCAATGGTAGGAGGTCGTTGTTTGTTCTCTTCACCCAGGCTGGCTCAGTATGGTGTCAGGTTTAAAATGAACCGTTGTCATAAACATCAGCGGAAGAACGCTACGTTCATGGCTTTCACAATAAAACACAATAAAATTAAAGCACAAGTCTGTGTTCTGCACTTTGTGCAATGACCCACAGTTGATTTAAAATTAATCTAAATTAGGGTATTGAATGCTGCAGTTGTCAAATGACAAAATGCATTTGCTGACATATTTGAAAGTGTTACTAAGCAGTTAACTAATACATATTTAAGTGCATCATCCTAAACCCATTTTAGTAGTAGTGCACTCTAACAAACACATATTTTTTATTTGTGGTATGTGAAGGTAATTAGCTAAGATATACCATGTTCACATAATTTAGATAATAATCACAAATTCCAAAGAAAATCCAGTCAGATTTGTCAGTTTTATAAAACTAAAGCTTTGTACAAAACTGTGTGGTGAAGCTGTGCATACAAAAACACTTTTGCATGCATTCACATGCACACATCTAAATGCAAAACACCACAGTAATTACAAATTATTGCGCAGCAAAACTTGGATTGGATAGGACATGCTGCTTTACAAAATGGCAGTCCCTTATCTTATTATCCAATTATCAAGAACTGCTTTGACAAAAACAGGAGGATCTTCTACAACAAAGACAAAGTGATCCCCAATCAAACAAAACTCTCATACTCTCCAGGATCATGCTGCTATTAGCTCTTCCAGTGCTATTTTATCTCTGTTTTACCATTAGGTTTTGTCTCTGTGTAGCTCTCTCTGCCCAAAATTGGTCTTCAACCTTAATTTTCTTGGAGGGCTGGAACACTAGATCAAATCTGGTGACAAATTAACTGGCACTGGGAATTTGCATCATCAAATCGACACCAAAAACTGTATTCAGACAGGAAGAAATGCCAGAAAACCTCCCAAGAGAGCTTCGTCAATTAAATTTGTTTCCTCTGTGACCTCCATGCTTCATGCTTTCTGCATGCCCATGCCTAGGATGATGTCTATATAATGTTATTGCCTAGCAGGAGTCAGCAACATCGTCAGTAACTTATTTCACTATTTGACTTGGTATGGACAGGTACCTGCTGTTTTCTGTCATGTTGATATTTTAGAAAAGCGGTATAACTACAAAACATATCACTTGAATATGATTTCTTTCTGTGTTTGAATGACACACTGGCAGACAGGCTGACACCGGAGCTGCTACCAGACACCAGAGCTAAATTTTGAATAAAGATCACAAGCGGGCTACCACCACACCTGATCTGACAGGAGAAACCCACCCCTGCCCTAATGTTATGTAAGGTGCAATCCCAACACTTACCTCTGTGTAAATGAAATGTCCCTACAATTTGCTGGGTGTCATAATAAACAGTAGTAGATTGCAGTCATTCCCTCTCATTAAAAGTGTTGGCTGTCTAGCCTTGTTGATTAAGATGTCAAGTTGTAATTTAATATATGGCTTGCAATGCATTTACAGTGTGCATCCAGATTGTCTACAAATGAAATTGTGAGTGATTGTTTAACAAGATAGACAAATTAGACCAAAACACCTTTTCAGACACACAGCTTGGTAAAATAGGTTTATAGCCTCACCTACTGGATATGAAAAGGAATGTCAACTACTCATGTGTCCTTTCTCCATTTCACCTTTGTCACTCTATCCCCCTCCCCTTTTCTACTTCTCCTTTTGTGCCAAGTCCCGTTTCCCTCCCTCTCTCTGTTTCTTCATACCTTTTGTCTTTCTGTCTCTCTCTGTAGAATATGCCAGTACATAACAATGAGCTCAAACAGCACAGACCCTGGTCTCTTCCTGACTGCCAACACCTCCACCCCAGCAGCTGGAGCCTACCCACAATCCAATGCTCTCCACCAAGGAGGAGCTGGAGGAGCCCCCTGGGCGGCTTTTCATGTGAATACCCTGGATGATAATTCCTCTTCCACCAGCAAACTCTTAAACCTCACCTCGGAGTCCCAAAATGGGAATGGAACTGCAACCCTTGATCCCTTGGGTGGCCACCCTGTGTGGCAGGTTGTTCTCATTGTCTTGCTGACAGGCATGCTGTCACTGATCACCGTCATCGGCAACATCTTGGTAGTGGTATCCTTCAAAGTTAATCGCCAGCTGAAGACGGTCAATAACTACTTCCTGCTGAGCTTGGCTGTTGCTGACCTCATCATAGGGGTCATCTCCATGAACCTCTACACAGCTTATCTTGTGATGGGCTACTGGGCCATGGGGAACTGGGCATGCGACCTGTGGCTGGCTATAGACTATGTGGCCAGTAATGCATCAGTTATGAACTTACTGGTCATCAGCTTTGACCGCTACTTTTCAATCACCAGGCCTTTGACATACCGGGCCAAACGGACCACGAAGCGAGCTGGGATCATGATCGGCCTTGCCTGGTTTGTTTCTCTTGTTCTGTGGGCCCCAGCCATCCTCCTATGGCAGTATTTTGAGGGTGAGAGGACAGTACCCTCAACTCAATGCTACATTCAGTTCCTCTCAGAGCCCACCATTACCTTCTGTACAGCAATGGCAGCTTTCTACCTGCCTGTGACGATAATGAGTGTTCTCTACTGGCGCATTTACAGGGAGACCCAGAATCGTTCGAAAGAGTTAGCTGGGTTGCAGGGGTCGGGGGGTCGTGGTGGGAACGGAGGAAAAAGTGGGAATGGTGGGGGCGAGAGAGCCCGTTTTGTCCATCAGACAGGAAGTTCTAGAAGTTGCAGCAGCTACGAGCTGACCAGGTTGTCCCGGAGAAAGAGCAGATGTCGGGAGTTGGTTGGCCGCTTCCACTGCTGGCCTGGGGTTCGTTCTTGGAGACCAGGTAGTATCCGGCAGGGGGAGGGTGATCCAGACCAGAGCAGCAGCGACAGCTGGAACAACAATGATGCTGCAGCCTCGTTGGACCACTCTGGGTCTTCAGAAGATGAGGACTGTGGGGGCCGAGAGATGATTTCCCAGAGTCATGCTATTTTCTCCATTGTTCTCAGCCTGCCTGGGATAAAGGCTGCTGTCAACTCCCAACTCACCTCATGTGAGGATCTGGATGCAGCCTCAGAGGAGGATCCGCTCAGGGGAGCAGAGTATAGCCAAGACAGCCTTTCAACACTCACCACCAACACTACTGCCACCACCACTCCTGATGGAACAAATAGTTCAGAAAATAGCTACCACCAACGCTTCTGCTCACGCAAGATTCAATCAATGCCTAGTATCCAGGCTACCTCTAACCAAGGCTCACCGGATGATCCCCCAACAGCTACTACCACTGCCACCGACACTACTACCACCAGCACCACCACTAAATCCCCCACTGTCCCAATGTCCTTCAAAGACGCAGCTCTGGCTAAACGTTTTGCAGCCCGAGCTCGGACTCAGATTACCAAGAGGAAGCGCATGTCCTTAGTGAAGGAGAAGAAGGCAGCTCAAACTCTCAGTGCCATCCTCTTTGCTTTCATCATCACATGGACACCTTACAACATCATGGTGTTGATCAATGCCTTCTGTAAGGGTTGCATCCCGGAGACCCTGTGGGCAGTAGGGTACTGGCTATGCTATGTCAACAGCACAGTCAACCCCATGTGCTACGCCTTGTGTAACAAGACTTTCCGTACAACGTTTAAGATGATACTGCTGTGCCGCTGGGACCAGAAAAAAAGGAGGAAGCAGCAGTTCCAGCAAAGGCAGTCAGTGGTCTTCCACAGGAGGATTCCCAGGGAGTCCACGTAAAGGACAGGAAGTTTGTATGGTCAATAACAGGGAATCAAACGATTTAATATAGGACAAGGAAAAAGGAAGAAGCATCCATGTAGTTGTTTCTGTGGAGTTTCTTTGCTTAGAGATGTGTTTCTCTGCTGATATGTCAAGCACAGCAATCCTATGTGGTGGTCTTGAGGTATGTGTTTGTGTTGGTGCATCCATTTAGCAAAGCTCTATGTATGCGTAAAGGGTTGTATTCGGTGAAGTCCAGAGATGAAAGCTTTCCCTCTGTCCTTGAAGAACTGTTTACCATTTTACGCTAGTACAGCTGAGAGAACATGAACAGAGTGGAAAATATTAGAAAAGGGCTTTAAAATGCATTGCAGGTGAATTATTGAAGTGCAATTGTCACAAGGGGAAAGGACATCTTTGTCATAGGGTTGGGGATTCACATTTCTTATAATTTTTCTCTGTGGCTAGCTAGATCTGTAATGTGCAGAGTGGTTTTGCATTTCAAACAAAACTATGTATCTGTAATACATCACTGAAAGCCAAGACAAAAACTATTTTATGTTCACAGGCTTCTGCATTGTACTGATTTGACCTGCCATCGTCTTGACTGGCATGTTTTTATCAGAACGTCTGTACATTTCCTTTCTACATGGATATAGCTTTTCTGTGTCTGATGGAATATAAAAAGTTATTAAATTGTGTCCTTACTTTCAGTCAACAGAGATCTGTTATTTTTGTGATATTCATCTTTGGTTTTCTAGATATTCCTGAGATTTTGAGCCAGTCTGAAAATGATTCTTCTGATGAACTGAGTTGTAAATATTCTCTGTGGCACCACAGTCAGTGAACTGCTGTTGTGTTCAATGTGATTGTTGTGGTTTTTATGGTGGAGACAATAAGTACACTGGTTGTGTTTTATGTACTTGCAGTTCTCTGTCAAGAGTAATGATTATACAATGATGATATTCTGTTTGTGTACATTTGGATATTTCTGACTTGATAAAAAATGATTGATTGCAAACACAAAGATGTCCATTTATAAAGATATGTGTTTTGATTTTACACTATCTCTAGCTCTTTGTAAAAGGCCACTTTGATATAGTAGAGCAATGGCAGCCTCTAGTGGCTTGAGGAAGTACTGTTGTCCAGGCTGTGTCACTGTCAGACCAGGTTCTACAGTGCAGTATTAAAATCTCATTCATTCATTCAGCCTTTATTTAAATCTAAAAAAAAAATGATTGAATCGTCATTTTCAGTGAGGTCAAGAGTAGAATAGACTAAATACATACAAAACAAAACTGCCAATATGAAGACTACAAATTGCCACAATTTTTGAAGCTACAATATTTTAACTTTCTGTCATAACAGACAGAATTTTTTTGTTTAATTTTACATTATTTATGTGTGAAGATTTTCTTCATTAAAATTATTGATAAGACATACAGCAATTGATTTGTAAATAGAATTAATAGCTGTCCTTGTCTACGTTACATCAGGTTTTTCTTTACAAAAAGTGGGTGAACACCACATACCAACATATGTCAGCATAAAGATCAACCAAGGCAAGAATTTATTTTATTTTTTATTTGTAATGCACATTATATTATTCTTAAGTGGTTGGTTTTTACATTGTTGCTGCACCAAAATCTTGAATATTGTGCAAAATGTATTGAAGGTAAATGATAAACTGTATTTTTACAACTGGCATCCTGAAGAATGAGTAGATTTGATTGTGTTGGATGCAGTGGGCATACATAATAGTATGACTTATGTGCTGTATGCAAAAGAAATGTTAAAAAATATCCCATGCCTGTCATCAGTGGATATTTTGTCTGCTTTCAACATAACGTGCTCCAGTGACATAACACATTCTTCATCAAAATATGAGATTTTTGTACTTAAATATTGGGAATGTAAACTACCAAAATGGTAAACACAAACATTTTGTTACATTACAAGTATGCCAATCATACTCATATTTTAAGTCAATAAAAAACAAAAATCTTTTTGACAGAAATTATCATTTTTTGTGTCACAAATCACAAGTGTGTTGTTTTTAATTTATTTTCAAGTTTATTTACACACAATGGGTTTACTAATCATGGATGCTTTTTATTCAGGAATGCTTTGACAGTGTTACACACATCCATGTCTAGACTTGAGCGTACTAGAGCAGGTTTGTTTTCCTGTTCAATAGCAGAATTTTCCCGTAGCGCTAAAACGTAAGTACTTTTGTGAGTCATCATTTTTATTTGTTCTATAGCTATCAGGTGTGGATATGTAAGGGGGGAAATCATACTTTTTTCACTGTCACAATGTAAAAAAGACTTTACAGTAAAAATACCAATTAAGTGCAACTTTGTTTTATTTCTAGTGCCAGCAAATGATACCATAAACCTCTGCACCAACTGTGCAATATTAAGTCTGTAAATATGTAGTTGAATAGTTTCACTGTTTGTTGTTATTGGCCTCCATCATTTTTAGGAAATATTTTGCTGCAATATGTTTACATGCTACTTGTAAGAACCACCAAATGTGTATTTTTTGCTTATTAAAGCATAATCTTAAACACACCACCACCAATAGCCTCTTTGATATAGATCCTTATTTTCTTAGCAGGACACTGGGTCATTATCCAGCAGTAAAATTAATTTCCTGCCACTGAAACATTGTCTAGGGAATATTGCATGATCTGAATAAGAATAGATCTTTTTTCTCTAAAATATTAAAATCTCAAATACTGTCTTTTTGATGGACTCAAAAATGTTGATATAATCTTTGTTTGTAGATTTTTTTTTCTTATTTTTTCCCCTATGACTTAAATGTTCTCTTTGTCATAAAATGTATCATTTAACTACTCTCATAGGAAACCTGTAGTTGTTTAAATTAGCAATTGCACTGCCATGTTTGGAGGACACAGCTGAAAGTTGTTTCTTGATTGGAAGGATGGACTTAAAAGTGGCACCAGTGAGCACCAAACCAGAAGTAAAAAGTAGTGATCAGCTTGATATTCTGCTTATAAATATGATTCCTACATCACTGACTACCACAACACTAGTGCTGAGTGTCTTATTTTAACCAGAAACTGAGTAAACAACAAGACTGGTCTTTGACTGTTGCACAGTTCTGTTTGTTCCCATGATGAGGCCAGATGAAGTTAGTGAGGGGAGTCTCAGACAGTGCTAATGGGAGATAGCCAAGGAGACCAGGCATGTGATGAGGAAAATACCAACTTCATGTGACCCATGGCTAAGGAGCGGCTCATCTTCGAAGACAAACAGCCATTTGTGTTGTTTTCTTCAGTCAGTGCTGATCCACTAAGGAGAATCCACCAGTCAGGCAAGTACACTTTAATTTATAATATAAGTTTAAAAATATTTAACTAATTTAGCTTTAATTCAGGCTTATCTGCATTTTTTGGACTACAGATGTTGCAAATTTGTCTCATGTTGATGTTAACGTGTGTTGGTTTTACTAAGACCAGACTAAGAGTTTGGACAAACATAAACTTTAATGAGTGTATGAGCTGGTAATTTCTCGTGAATATATTTTCTTTTAATTAGGATCCGTTTCAAGAATGTGTATGTCATTTATTTATTTGTAATTGGTTTCACTTACTTGATTAGCTTTGAAGTACTTACTTATGAATCATGAAGTAGGAAAGGCAATCTTTTATAGTTGTTAAATGGCCCAACTCTTGTCTTTACCACACCCAAAGGTATTAACTAGTCTTCAGGCATGCCCGGATGCAGTCCAACACAGACACCCACACAATTAAATAAATGTCCAGTATTAGCTCTACGAGATGTTTGTAAATTACAGTACAGTAAATAATAATAATAATACTGTACTATGTCTCTCACAATATGTATCAAGCACATTTTCAGTAAATTAATTCCTAATTTGTGAAACTTATTTGACTTATTTGGTGCAATCTAATTTTAATTTGAAAAGCCCTGTGAGCTTCAGGCAGTCAGCATTGCTAATACACACATGACATGTATCACTCCATAATCAATGGATGTTTGGTGGTCTATTTAGGCTGAAAAAATGTCTCATCTCTCCCTCTGCTCTGTCAATGCTACTGCTGTCCTGCATCAGTTTTGCTGCGTGTTCTTTCAACCCCAACATCTAGCTCCAGCTATAGGGCTTAAGATATTTGTGTGTCACTCCCCAATATCTCCATGTAAACATATCTGCAGGGAGTGATGATGTCGGAGCCTAGACGTCAAACTCGAACTATGTTGTGATGCTGCACTAAACATTTCAAACGCGAGTCTGATTGAAATTATGTTAGGGCTGAAACGATAACGATTATTTTAATTATGGATTAGTCTGTCAATTAATTTCTAGAAAATGTCAGAAAATGATCAGCTGTCCAGATGATATTTAGTTTACTATCATAGAAGACTTCATATAAGACAGCTGAAACCACTTAATTTGTGGTGATTTTCCTTAAACAACAAACTACTAATTGAATAATTGTTTTTCCTGCTGTCACCAGTAGTGATACATGAGTCAGTCTTTTCCTGGATCAATTCAGATGTCTGTGTCTGGGAAATCAGAACATATATACAACTAAAGGACTCATAAATCCTTAACAAAGTGCAAAAACACACAATGGAAATTATCATAAAAGATAAGTCTGAAAGGAGAAAACAATTTATGTATGATCACTATATACACAAAATGTATACAATGCATAGCAACAAGAGACATTGCCCTTACATTCAACTTTTACCTCATGACTCTGCTGAGACCAAGATTACCTCTCCTCTGCTATTGTGAAGCTAAGCTTACAAATAAAATGAATCAACGTAGATTTAACTTGTTCTTTTCCCTTTATTTCAGCCTGCCTAGATAGTCTACCCTCTGGATGAAGCCACAGTGGTCAGAATGCAGACTATTAAGACGGTGGAGACCCAAGTGCCCTTTCTGAAAGAGAGTTTCTTTACTAGCACTTTCAAAGGCAGGAGGAAGAGCAGTGTTACCAGCATCCTTCGTAAACAACAGCACTCTCTCCTTAATCAACAACAAGAGCAACAGCAGCAGTGCATTTTAGAGCATCAGCAGCAGCATCCTAAGCAGTTTCTTCCCTCATCAGTCGAAAATGGACAAGGGCTGCGCACTCCGGAGCATCAGCGCCTTGCTCGCTCAACCAGCAGCCCGTTATGCAAGACAGCTGAGCGTGCAGGAGCAGATGGGGATGGAAAGGAGGGGCAAAAAGAGAGGAAGGATCAGAGAGTCACAGAGGCTGTGCAAGGGAGGGAGGGTGAGCGAGGAGTTAGTGGTAGCGAGCCCGCGGCTGTCAGTGCCAGTCTCCTCCTCCTTTCATCATCAGCATCAGCAGCACTCGGGGAAGCAGCATCATTCTCACAGCTGCCTTTAACTGTGGTGGGCAGACAGCAGGGATTAGGCAGCTCTGAAGGAACTCTGACCAACAGAGGACCAGCATCAGTAGCAGCCCAGGAGGAAGCCCAGCATGCCCAGGCTCGACCCCCGCAGCATGGCCTATTAGCCAAGGGTGTCCGTCTGCTCAGGAACATGGGGAACCAGGAAACAAAGCAGAAGAAAGGAGGAGGAAGTGGTGGAGCTGCAGGGGATGTCTCCTGTGATGGTGATGCTGATGAGAGGGAAGTGGACAAAAAATTAAAAAAGTCCCACAATAAGATAAGTAAAGGAGGAGGAGAAAATAATGGAAAGAAGAAATCTAAGTCAGAGTCGAAGGGTTCGGTGTTTTCCGGCATGAAGATCAGGAAGAGTTTATCAAAAGCAAAAGGGTTGTCTAAGGATGACATGTTGGAAGATGGGAAGTCAGCACACTCTGGCAAAGCAGGGCTTAAGCCCGGTACAGAGGCCAGACTGTCAGCTGATGAAATAGGCATACTATCAGATATCGAGGGGGATCTAAGCCGCTTGACTGCAGACAGTCATCAATCTATGGTGAATGAGATTGACCGGAAGATGAGCTCGGGGTCGGATGCTGACCTCTACAGTTTTCACTCGGCAGCAGCTGAAAATGAAGACCTGCTTTCTGACATCCAGCAGGCCATAAGAGACCAATGTGTGGCCAGTGACAGGGTACTGGTAATGGTGGCTGACCACTTGTCTGAAGGGTCAACCCCTGAATGGAACAAAGCTCCTGAGAAGGTAATATCCCACCAGCTATTTAATCAGGATAAAGAAGTTTTCTCTTTCCCTGTTGGTAGTGAATGTGTACCTCAAGAGGTAAGCGGAGAGTGTAAGAAATTGGAGAACGAAAGTCATGTCATACCCATATCAAGAAATTCATCTGGTCCAGGGTCCCTGAGTGAAAGTGGTCCACCATCGTCAGCCCCAGATACAGAGAGAAGCAGTGGCAGCCTTTTCCCAAAGACTAACAGCACGTATAGCTTCCCTGACACTGCAACTACCACCACCTCGTATGAGAGTGCTGAGGAGCCCCAGGATGATCTGGAGAGCCCAGTTCTGCACCTACAGCAGCGTCAAGATAATCTGGTTGCACAGAGTGAAAACAGAGGCGTGCCATGTGTCCACTTGGATCCCGAGGTGGCAGGGGCAGGGCCGATGGGGTCTCACAGGAGTGCGAGCAGCATGGACCTGTCCATGGAGAGGGAGGGGGAAGAGGAAACTGGGAGACGGGACTTCCTGTCACTGAAAAGGAGGAAGAGTAGTTTGTCTATTAGCCAGTTAACAACAGACCCCAATGGTTCTCAGCCTAGACGGACATCCTCCAGCTCCCCCTCCACTGTCAAACTCTACCCTCCAGTCCACCCTTCATATGTTAAGACCACCACCAGGCAGCTCACCTCTCCAATAGGCTCCCCCATTACCAGCCCCCATGTTCCCAGGAAAACAGATGCCACTGTTGTTTCAGTAGAATCTTGTGGGGCCAAGGGGTTTAAGAGGCACAAGCAGAGGTCCTCCTCCATTGCTGGGCCTATCAGTGTGTCTGCAGACTGGTCCGCAGAGTTGGATGAGCTAAGAGGAAGGAAGGGTGGTGGGGCCAAATACCCAGAGCAGGATACACCAGAGAAGAGTTACACAGGAGGGATTTACTGGACTCTGGGGTCCAGGAGAGCACATTATGTACGGCAGACCTCCCTTACCACAGTACCCTACCTGGATGTCTTCTCTGGTGAGTCACACATAATGCAGGTTACTGAACTGTTGCCACACAAAGCTCACTCAGACAGATATAAAGGCTGTTAATAAAACATAGATGAGACTTTTGGTGTATACTTCCTCTCAGATTTATGCCTGATTATGGAAAATAACCCTGTAATGCATTAGCAATGTAACCCCACATCTTGGCCACCATTGCACTTATTCTGGGTATTGTTATTCCACTAGTAGTGTTTATATGTTAAAATCAACTTAAAGAACTACATATGTGGCTAATTTGGTTAATAAAGACCACAGTGATTATTAATAACTTCCTATATTTCCTATTTCTATTAAAGAGAAGGAGAGTTATTTGGGTTTCTTGATTAGATGGTGTAAGCCAGGAGGGAGTAGGCTGTTAATTCTTGAACAAATTGGATGATACAGTGATGTGGGAAAATATGAATGGATAGAAACCAGGAGGTCTGTCTTGAAGTAATGAATGAAAAGGCAGAGAAAAAGGATTAAGAATGAAATAGTATTCCTAACAGAAAACATCTGGCAGGATTACGTCACAGCCCTACAAGATGGAACAAAACTTGCATTTATATACTGTTAGCAACGGCCCATATTAAGAGTTTGCATGAATTTACATATAGAAAAGGCATAAAGAACAAGGCTGGCAATATTAAATCATTTTCTTATTGTCAACAACTCCCATAAAAGGGCCTAAACTGGCAATATTTTGCCTCTCTCGCTACCTTCCAACTCCCCCAGCCTGTCTGTGAAACTCAGCTCCAAGACCATTTATTCAGATTTTTATTAAACTTTACAAAGTTTCCTAAAACAACTGGCCACTGTAACTTCCAGCAAATGTTACTCAAACAGGAGTGCATTTGTTTCAGACTATATTAGTCACTTCTTGTGTATATGGGAAGATAAATAAAAATAAACAGTTCCCACACACATAGTAATAAAGGAACATGTCACCCAGTAAAACAGTGTGATTCATTAATCTGTTTTTTTTATAGTGTTTTTTGACAACGGTGGAGGTCTATGGCACAAAGGAATAACCTCAGTTAATACAATATATTGTTGGTTTTGGTTTGTCCATGGGATTTGACAGTGATCAAAGTATAGAATATCACCGGACCTATACTTTTTTTTAATGCAGTAGAAAATCATGATCCATTTTATTGACTCCTCTGCTCTCACAGAAGTAACATTTGCCTGACCAAGCAATGTATCCGAGGAAAACAAAGAATTCCTTCCATTCAAATATTTTAGTTTGTTTATCTTTTATTACTATTGTTGCTGGGAATCCCCAATGGGCCGGATGTGACTCCTACTTGTTTGACTCAAAGCCCTGTCCTCATTTGAGATGAGGTTGTTATGCAATGGTATTGTGAAATGATTATGGTAATTGCTAGTGATTTAAATTCTAATGACTTACAAATGATCAGATTATAGAAATTATCACAGCAGGAACACTAAAGTTATGATTTAAAAGCACAATAGCTCATGAAGACAATGACACAGTGGGGGTTCTTTATTGAGAAGTGTCTTCAGAACAAATGCCTCTTTCTAATAAAACAATGTCACTCTATCCTCCTTTCTTTTGTGGTGCCTTTCAAGAGCTCAGCTGCTCTCCACTGTCTGTGCCTGTGCTCATAAATCAGGGGACCGAATGACAACACTGCCACAGACCCAAGGCAATGTCATCCCCTGATTCCAGACAAAAGAACACACATGCATAGTGCACACTTGTGGATGCTGAACCCAAGTGACAGTTTTTCCGCATGACAAAAATGAGTCATGATCTAAGATCCATTTGCATTACGTCAGGTGAATTTACTCTAGCCAAACAACAGAGGTACATTGTGTCTCTATGTGTAGTCATTTTATAATTGTAAAACATATTCTGTCCTGTTTTTATTCCCAAAGACTGGTTATTTCACCATTCAGTCACCCACTAATTCAGCACTGCATGAGACACCCATCAGTTGAGTGAATTTTTCAGGTCACATCTGGCCCTTAGGAGGGAGCGGGAGGACAGAGAGGAGAGACTGAAAGTAGAAAAAAATGCTAATTTAACTGTCAAACAACTGACAAGTGTCCTCAGTCTGATAAAACAAATTCTGGATTTAAAGACCTTAACCTGAACTGATTTGACTCTGGATTTGAGTGTAAGTGTAAGACTTTAGTGAAGTTGGTCTGTGCCTTGCAGATGCCTGTTCTTGTGGAATAGGTCACACTACAGGGTACTTATGAAACGCAATCCATTTTCAGCGTTAGCCTACATTAGTGTTTGTCAAACTCTAATCCAAAGTACTCAAATCAATGTCCACAGGACCATGAGTCACAAGACGTTAATTCATTTACTGTTGTCCTCTCAGTCACATGGTATAAAACATTACTGAGCCAGTCAACTGAGTGCACAGTGTGTCATGGTTGGCCTTTTATGAAGTAATAGAGCTGTGTTTTCTTTTAGGCTCCGTATCCTCGGTTGATGACACATAGTCAATATTTTTTCCAACCCCTAATGATTACTTCTGCTCCTGCCATCATCAAGAAACAGGATTCTTCCTTATCTGGGAACCAAACCTGCTCAGGGATTCTGAGATTATGACAAATATTTCTCACAGCTCAAAGTTGCTTTTCTAAATATTTTACCATTACCATGACACAATCTACTACAAGTTTATTTATTTACAATTTATCATATTCAAATGTAGAATTAAGAAGCTGTACAACCACACCATAAGATTAATCCGTGTTTTCCTCTCTTTCTGACACAAAACACACATTTTAGTCATATCAAGTTCATCCACACTGTTTTAAAACCAAAATGATAAACCGGGAACAATATTATTAGATGTTCTGCATCTTGAATATCATTTAGCATTTGTTATTTCTTTGCACTGCACAATTAACACCCTCTCTCTCGTCACCCGCATGTAAAGGGGTGAGAATAGAGTTCGCACATGTAGGTGTTTAATTATCACATCTAAAACTGAGAACTCTCTTTATAACTTTTTGGTCAGAATAACACAAGATGTCATCCTGTGTCGTAACAGCACACTGTAATAACTGTACCACTTTGGCTCCAAAAATCATATCATCCAGAATCAGGATTTATTTATTTCATATCATTAGAAAATGGACCTGTGTGTTCTTCAGGCCAGTTTCATTCTTTAATTTCTCTTCTGTTCTCAGGTCGCGCTCTGTTGGACTGGCTGTGTATGCATCCTGGAGATGGGTCTACAGAAGAGGAGACAAAGGAATTCTGTCACCGAATGTTAGTCCAGGGTCTGTTGCACCCTTTCAGTGACGGCATCACAGAGCACCATGGTGATAGCACTGTCTCAGCTGTCTTTAATGTAAGGCCTTTCTCTCATTACACTTATTTTGCAAAACATGAGCTGCTTTTCATCAACTGTGGCCAAAGCTGAGTTTAGGGCTAGGTTTTTTTCACCATGCAGCCAAAATATAGGAGTGGGTAGGTGACATTCTCAGATATCATTGGTTTTTAACTCAATGGGATGTATTCTAGTGTTAAAAATACAATATAAAGGTCAAAATTTCACACTTAAGAGGCAATAACTGCCGCTCCACAGCTCCAATTTGATTTAACTTACCAAACTCTGATGCATACCACTGGCTAAAGGATAAAGTGATTTACATTCCTCATTACTTTTTTATACCAACTCCTCGCCTGAAGATATTATAAAATGGGTTGATATGCAAAAGAGAGCATGTACTTATCAGATGAAACAGTCAAAGAATGTAGCACAAACTGATTTGAAGACCAGTTTATGTGCAGTATATAGAGTTGTGTGAAGCTGAGCCAATCTGTGTTTCTATATTTAATGCTGTATTACTGTGATTCATCCCACAGACTTTTTATTATCCGAAGAGCAGTGGTGCATGTAGACAGGGTGACCATGTGAAAGTTGATTTCATGAATCTTTAATTCTCCATTCCAGTAATGCTTCGCTCAGACCTAATCTCATGTCCATTACATTCCCCTGCACAGTTCATCACAGACACCGTCAAAGTATAGAGTATACATACCATGTTGGTATACTGTTAGTTTTAGTAAAGAACACATGATTTTTGAAAAATTATGTACAAATGATACTGCTATAGATGTATTAGAAGTGCTCTACCTTCGATATGTGTGTACACTTCAGAGGAATTGAGACAGTTAGATTAGTTATATTATTTCACTATGAATTGTTGGGTTTATTTATCTATTATATTCTATTATTTCTACCAATTCTAGCAGTGTGGCTCCACAGATGGCAATGTCGGTTGGTTCAACACAGACTGAAAATGTGTCAACAAGGATTGGATGGATTGCCATGAAATTTTGTACAGACATTTATGTTTCCCAGAAAATTAATTGTGATCACTTTTCGGTGAGCAAATGTTATAATGCTGACACGCTAAACATAACCTATTAGACATTAACAGGTTAGCATTGTCATTGTGACCATGTTAGCAAGCTGAGGTTTGTATTTGGCTCACTGCTAGTCTAAGTACAGGCTCACAGAATTGTTGAATATGAACATATTAGTGTTGGTCTCTAACAACACAATACTGTCCATGCTCATATGTACATGTATGTAGCTAAATATACACTCACATACACACACACAC